TGGTTTGACTTTTTTAAGCAAAGAAAGAAATAAGTTTTTTTTTTAAGGCCAAAAGAGCAAATTTGATTCCTGACTCTCTTTTCCCTGCTCCAAGGTGCAGAGAAAGCAAATTTCTTTCACCTTTCTAAAGGATCCCCTCTCTTCCCAGGAGTGCAGGGTCCCCCAAGCCCCATTAGCTAGGACTTTCCCAGTGTTTTGGAAGCACACAGTTTAATTCTCATCTGTCTCTTTCTGGCTCTGGCTCTGTTCCTGGTACTATAGAGCCAGAAATGTCTGTCTCCTATGCCTCTAGTCTTTATTCCTCCCCAGGGCACATGGGCCAGTTCTTCAACTCTTCAAACTGACTTGAGGGGAAAGGGGGAGCATCATAACTGAGCATAATAGTGAAGCCCAAATCCAGCCCAGCTCCCTTCTGAATATGAGAATAATTCAGCCTCCAGGCAACCTGCATGCTCACCACCACACTAAAACTCTCCTAGGTCTGAGCTGTTTTTCTCCATCCTTCCCAAGGCCGAAGGTGCTTGGAAAACAATGGCTCACCCTCTGGGATGGCTCCTTGAATCCGGTATATGGGGAAATGGTGCCCTGCAACCCAGCCCTGAACAAAGTGGCTGGAAGCATCATCAGTAAAATGGCAGCGTATCCGTACATTTCCCTCATTGATTTTCCTCTTCCATCTGCTCAGCTGCCCAGGTCAGCCCAACCCTTCATCCCCATTCAGCAAACACCACCAACCTGGGAGAGATTCCCCTTCTGAGCCACTGGCCCCCCAACCCCTACCATGAGTTCTTATACTCCTAACTTGGTGGGGGCCACCTCTGCCTGCCACAGCCTCTAACGCCGGAGCTTCAGGACCCTCCCTCGGCCTGGGGCTCAGCTCCTGGGACTTCAGCCTTTCCCGCTGCAGGGGACAAAGCCACCCTCTCGCTGGAGACTACCCCAGCCCACCTACTAGCCCCTGAGTGCCCTCTCCTTAACAACCTACAGCACTTTTCAGGGAATTAAACTCAGAGTCTGAGGCACTACTGGGAATCCTTGAAATGGTTTCGGTTCTAAAAGAGAAACAAAGGAAGAGAGAGGCTGAGGGTCCTGTCCATGATCCAGGGTCTCCTTGCCTGACCTTTGTCTCTCACAGCCATAACTCACTCTAGATATGAACAATCAGCGGAAATACCTTAAAATAAATTCCATCCTCCTGGTGTGGCCTCGAGTCCCATCGGCTAGCTTGCCCAGAACCGCTCCATGAGTGCTGAAAACTGCAACCCGCTGGAAGAGCGCTCGCTCCGGAGAAGGGAAAGGAGGAGGAGGAGGTGGGTGCGTGGGGGTGGGGGAGAAGCTCTCGCTCTGTAGAGAATCTAGAAAACGTAATCACAGGCAAAGCCTGCCTGGGTCTCCGCTCCAAATGCCACAATAATGCGCTGTATTATGTGCTCACGTGGTCATACGTCAACTTAAATCCTTTTATTTGAAATAAGGAATCACTGAAGGAACTAGGTTTTTAAGCAGAACATTTAGCTTTGGGGGAAGGGAAGTGAGGGACCTTGACCAGTAGCTGGTAAGAGTTCTGTCTTAGTAGTAGGACCCTTGCCCCCCCCCCCACCGCCGTTGCATACCACACAAGGCTGCTTATCTCCACTTATATTTCTTCACACACACTCCAAAGACAAGGGAACAGCAATCCTGTCCATATTCTTAAAGTCCACTTAACTTTCCTATGGCCTCCTATCCCTGATAAACTGAATCCAGCACTCATGTCTCCCAGTCTCCTCTGGCCCACAGGACAGCATATTAAAAGACAAGAGCCAAGCCCAGAAATTACTGGGCTGATCAGCAGACTTTTCATAGCCCGCAACTGTATGGAGTTTGCTAGCATCCATGTCATATGGCAAAGCCACTGAAGAAAACAAAAAGGCCTATAATTACAAAATGTTGAAGCTTCTGCTTCAAGTCCACTTGGTTTTGTTCAGTGGGAGTCCACGAGGAAAGATGTGCTCAGCTACAGAGTTGTGGGATAGGGTTTTGCAAAATCCAGAGAGACCTAACATCCCTTCCAAACCTGTACTTACACTTTCCCTCAGTACATGAGTATACATGAAATGATATGCTTCTAATGATGAAAAATGTAAGGGGAAATGATTTAATTATTCTTGAAGAGGGGAAACAAATACCAACCTTCACTGGAGTCCCCTGTGCTAACATAATCTACAAGACAACCTGGGACCCTCTCTGCAGAGAGGTCTGTATACCCTCCCCTAAGGCAACTCAGCATCTACCCAGAGAACCTGAATGGAATCAATTCTGCTCAGGAAGAATCTGACTGAAATAAATAGACTGACCCTCAAGTCTCCACCCTTACTCTTCCCTTCTGCTTGGTGACAGTGCCCACTGATTTCAATACTTCACCCTTTCATGAGCTGTCTACAAAGTTGCCCATTTCTGGTCTTAGTTTCTGAACTTTGAGTGCTCTGAGGCCAGTGAGCTCCTCATGCCATATTCTTATGTTCTTTGAGAGTAAGTCTTCATCTGGCTGTGTCTAAGTGTGAGGACTCACTTGTGGCAGCTGCAGAAGGCTGTGCAAGATCCTCTCCTCCCCCAAGGGAGGACCTAATGGGAATGTTAGGTCCTGAGTAAGGGTCCTGGTCATAGGGAGGAGAGGTTCAAAATCAGGAAGGCAATAAAAGAGGAGTCCTAACCCCATGAAAGCAAGTCCTGACCTAAGCTAGTGACAGTGTTTCCATAAGGTTCTGTCTGTGGTGTAACTGGAAGAACTCTCCCAGCTCTGACCTAAGTCAGATGCTGGAAAGTGAGACTTCAAAGTGAAAACCTGCCTGTCTCAGGTTTGGGAGATGGGGAATAGACCAAAGGCTGATTTCTAAAATGCATTCTCCTGTCCTCTAAGGACTCATCCCCTTATCCTTCTGCCTGTATGACTTCCTAATCATTCACTTTGAGCTCTCCAGATGCCTGAGAAAAGGACCTGAAGTACTGCTGGGTTGCTGGCAACTCCCCACCCCCAAGCTTCTGCAGAGCCATCAAGTCACAGATGAGAAGAGGCCCTCTTCAGAACTCTAGGACAGTTTTGAGCAAATTAAAACTCAACTCCATAAACCAATGGTAAAAGTCACTGGTACTGCTTCAGAGACTTGTAAGGTCCAGAGGCACCTCAGCCCTAGCCTAACCAGGCAGCTGACATCCCAGTTAATGCTCCAACTGCTATTTAACAATTAATATTAAAAACTTGGGATGAGATGGGATGAGACCGTTGGTCTGGTGGGATGAGAAGAGGGAAAAAGTGAAGAAGTCAAAAGAAATTTAACTTCTGAGTTGGGAATGGCTTCTCTGAGTGGTTTTAGATTGGTCTAGGCAAACCACTTATAGACACAGCAGCTGAAAATCTTCCTTCACCACTCTGAATTCCACTTTCTTGAACCAAAGTTATGGACCTTTAAAAAAAACTCTTCCATTTCCTCCACCAGCCTCTGGCCAGAGCTGGAAACCCATACTGTGAGCCAAGCCCCCAGAGCCAAAATAGGGGGAAGTTGGCTTGGAAACAGCAGGCGACCAAGGGTAGAGATCTTGGTCAATATTTGCAAGGCTGTTGCAGATTAGATATATCTGTGCTCAAACAATGCAATCTGATTTTTCAATCAAAACTACACTTAACATTTTTTTGCTAACTCTAGTGGTTTTTCTACTCAGTAACAGGTAAGCCCAGTGGTGTGTGTGTGTGTGTGTGTGTGTGTGTGTGTGTGTGCGCGCGCATTAGGTCATTATTTAACATGAGACATTTCCTGTGGGTACAACTGCAGTACAAATGTGTTCCAAGTTCTCTGGGCACATATGGATGTTTATATCATGTTTTACACATGGCTCCTAAGTTCTAAAGCCATTTACATCTGCAATTGTTCTGTTGTCTGTGGAGATGCAAATCATGTATACACACTAAGTTGCAAGTTCCTGAAACGTTCCATTCATATTTGAAATAAACAGACATACAGTAGTAAGAAAGTAACCAATTACTGTTTACTTTCTATCTGATAAAATAATAGTATCCAAAACACCATTTCAGTCTTTAGAGCCCTACTGAATAGCATACTGGGATTAATTAACAACCTTACTATCTGGGAAGTAAATTTTAGGGAAGACTTGGGTCTAGGGATTAGAAAACAAAACCTGAAAACTTTTTAAAACAAAGCAAACTCATTCCTTCATACCAAGCTTCTAAAAGCTATTCCAGCAGCCCCTCCCCCAAATAGGCGCATAATTTATGGATCTTTTACAAGGTAATAAGCCACAGTAATTACCTCCCTGCATCCCAAACTAAGAGAACAAATTAAGCCAGAACTTGAAAAGAATTTTAAAAAGTTTTCTCTTATTCCAAATAGGAAAAGAAAACGTTGAGACATGGAAGACCCAAGCTTTTCCCATGAGAAGAACCGTGGGTGGGCCCTGGTGAAAGACTGGAGACAACCCGCTGCCTGAGAAGGGCCTACATGCTGGAAACACAGCAACTTCTCTCCTACCAATAGAGGCAAAAGGATCAGAGAAACTGCAAGGCGGTAAGAAAAGTTTCCTCAATCAAGATCTGGGACTGATGACAATTTCCGAATCCACAGCCTCCTCGGACAGGGAGAGCAGCCCACGCAGCAGCGGCTGCCGCGCCCGTGGCCTCTACTTGCTTTTGCCTTGCAGCTCAGTGGAGTGGTTTGGTTTGGGGCTTGCAGAAAGAAACAAACACACCCCTTTGGCTTTTCCCCCACCCCAATTTAGGCTTCTGCATCCCCTGCTCCTGCCTATCGCCGGCTTTGGGAAAGACTCTTTTGTCTGCCTGAAGCCCCGCATGGTCCGGTGTGCAGCTGAAGGGAAACTCTTCCGAAGTTAAATATTGACCAGAACCTCCTTCAACCCTCTGTAGTTGCCAGGAGCTGGGGAGGGCAAACTCCTCCCAACCGCTTGGTGCAAAGTCCTACTCCCCTGAAGAGTTTTGGCGCTGTGCTTACCTCCAAAGATGTTTAAATCTGAACCAGGAAATGTCTCCAACTCCAGGCGTTCAGGGGCTCGCCTATTCCAGTGTCCAGGCGCTCTGCGAACAAATAAACAGCGGAGGGTGAACGGTGGCTGCGAAGGAAGGGAGTTGGAAATGTGGCCTGCGCCAGGGTGGCCCAGTGGGTGACACGGATACGGAGGAGTCTCCAGGGCACTCGTCCATGCGACACACTCATAGCTCGAAATGTTCCAGTCTACAAATGGCCAGAAGATGGTGATTTATTTTTGTAAAATAAATACATACTCCATCTCCGCACTCACACTCTCTCCTTTTTCTCTTTTTTTTTTGGGGGGGGGTAAAGAAATGGACTAGACGAAGGAGGAAGATAAGAAGGTGGAAGAGGCTTGCTGGTGGTACGAGCTCTACTGAGAGCTCCTCATGCACCCCAACTTGAGAATGTGAATGCACGCTTTATTTTCTTTTGCTAACAAAGGGAAGCCTTGTCTGGAAGCATTCAATCACCGACTCTCCCGAAACCTCACTAATAGCGTTCATTTCTGTTGGCGCGAAATCAGACCCAGGCTCAGTCCACAGACTGGAGGCAGTTCTTGGGCGGTTTTGTCCTTTGGTTCATTCAAGTCTTGGGCGGACCACCTCTTGGTCATGTTGAGCTGGCAGGACATTTCATAGCTACTACAACGCCCAGTCCCTCCAAGCAGGCTAACTACTTCTGCTGGAAACTGGGCAGGACCAGGTTGCTGGACAATATCGACCAGGGGGCCTGCTCTTGCTCCGCCTTGTGCAGTGGCCACAAGCCGGCACAACGACCTGATTCCGGCTGCAATCTCATACCTAAAAGTATTTGCAACCCTCCCTTGCCCTCTAGCCAACAAATGGTCATGGAACCCTCAGCCGACTTTCTAGAGGCTAGAGATAGAGCTGAGGGCAGAGAGAATTCTCCCAGTGCGCTGGGCCCTGGCTCCACTCTGCTGGGACTGTGCACTGTGGGCGTTTGCTTCTTCAACCCTAACCCTGAACCCACCACACATTCAACCCAGACCTAAATAACCTCTCACACGCCAAGTCTGCTCCAAACCAGCCTTGCCGCTCTCTGTCCTGCGGCCATGAAATACTGCGCATAGCGCCAAGAGGGACTACCAAAAAGCTGAGGTGTCCCCTGCCCCTTGCCTTTGGAGTTCTCTAGCCTGCGGAACAAGTGGCAACAAACTGGCAACTGCCTTCTGCCACGACAAAACCCGCAGCCTTTACCCTCCATCAGGCTTGGGACGCAGAATCCACGCTGGGCCCCTTTGTCTTGTTCAATCTCGCCCTCTAAGTCCTCAAGAGGAGTGCTCCTTGGCCTTGGGGCTCCTGGCTTGACCCTGAGAAGGGTGGGGCTTAGCAATCCTGCACTTTGCCCCAGAAAGATCCACTATGCTACCATTCACCACCACCACCACCACCACCACCCTGAGAGGCTTAGGAGTTTTGTAATTATCATGGCTATTATTATTGTTTCTATTTCCTTATCCCCAAGTCTAATATTCACGGCTGCTGCTCGCCATAAATCCTTCAGACTAATGAGTCACAGAGAGATGTTGCCCAGGTCTCTCGCGCTGCAATGGCCGCCGCCGCCGCCGCCGCTGTGGCCTCTCTCTTCGCGTTTTTGGCGTCCGCTTGCTCCCTCGCTTGCCCGGCGCGGGTGATTTATGAACGCCGGGAAAATTGAACAAAGCCGCGCGCCGGTCCTGTGGTATCTCTGCAGCTTTCCCCAGCGTGAATCAGAACATTACCAACTGTCTGCGCATCCGTCCCACTTCATCACCAAAGCCAGGATGTGACCGCAAAAAACCCGAGCCCGAACTCACGTTTCCCCGGACGCAGCGCCTCCCTGGACTCGCAGAAACCCTCAGAAAAGCCCCAGGACCCAGCGAGGGCCGCCCAGATCGGTTCTCCCAGCCAGCCGAAGGGCTCTCTCCTGCCTTCCGAAAGGAGTTAAAAACCTTTGGAGATAAATCTGAGTGTGTGTGTGTGTGTCTGTGTGTGTGTGTGTATTTAAAAATCAAAAAGGAAGTTGGAGTCTCACTTCTGAGAGATTCATTCTTAGTGAGGCCCTGACGACTCCGATCCATTCCTGACGATCTGCATTAATTATTTAATGAGTCACGTGACCTCAAAGATTACAATTTCAATATCTCCCTTGAACAGGCACTACACCTTTATCAGCTGCAACCAGGGTCCTTGTTTGGCTTTTTGTTCCCCAGGCCTCCAGAACCCATTCACCTTTGCCCTGATGGGGCAAGCATCCACCATGGAAATACTAGGGCCAGCACAGCAGGATTAGTCATTCTGGGGCTACCAGCACTGTGGACAGTGGAGAGCCCACTGTTTTCTTAGGCTCCCTGACTTCCATCACTTCCGGAGCCTAGTACTCAGTCCACCTGTCTGAGTGCCAAGACTAGGGCAGTTCGGAATAGATAACTTCCCAGAGCAGCTTGGAGGGGTCATCATGCAAAAACCTACCCCTCTTCAGGCTACACACACCTGTGGCCCCGCCCATCAAGTGTAAGCCTAAATGTGTGTCATTCGGGAAGAATGGCTTCCACAGGAAAAGATCCCTATGGTCTAACCCCATCCAGGGTGAAACCAACTGCTCTACTCAAGCTACACACTCATTAGCATAGGAGCTTTGAGAGGGAGGGTCTTTCATCTGCCTCAATTTCTTCATTCCTAAATTGAGAAAATTGAACCAAAATGGCCTCCTGCTCTTTCACCTTGGTCCCAATTCTTTCAATCTGGGACTGTCTTTCAGCTTCAAGAATCAATCCTAGAAAGAATGGGGCTGGTCTGGGGGAGGAGACAACACTTCATGAGGAGCCTTCAGAAGAAATGTCAGAGTTCCAAACCAGAAGGTGCAGACTAAAAGGTTTCATGACAGCCCTAGCCACCTCTCTGATGCTATCAGGCAACAGAACACACAACTCTTCCTCCTCCTATTGTTTCCAGCCCATACTCTCAGAGGTGCAAGGCAGGTTTTTGAGCCAGTGTGTAATATAGAAGAGTGCCAGAAACAGTGAAAGGTGAGCCTGAGTTCGTCAATGCAGGGCTGTGTCTAGGGATGCAGAGACCAAAAGAGTGCCAAGAATGGCCTACTGCATGCACAGAATCCACTCATTTAAGTGGGTTTGTTCACTGGGATTTCTTTCCTTCCATTCTAAAGAGTTGCTGATCTATTTCTGTGTTGGAACTGCTAGAAGAAAGGCAATAGTTGAGAAGAGTAGCACAGCTTGGAAGCTTAAGGGAACTGGGGAACCCAGAAGAGATGGTAACACCCACCCGTGGGGAGAAGAGTAAGAAATGGAGGGAATGGGGCATCCTGAGAGAGCTGTGCAGTGGCCTACCCCCATATATCTAGGTAATCTTCCCGTGACCTCCATCCTGGGTATTAAGTGCTCTACTATGCCTGTCACAGTTGAATTCCTGCTGTAATAAAACACCAGGTATATCGTAGATTTCAGCAAAACTAGGAAAGAAAGCATACAAAGCACCATTTTTCTTCAAGGGGGAGAGTGTTAAGTACTTAATTCAAACTGTGACCATTAAAGTGTCTCCTATCCGATTTAGGTTGATTTCAGATGTTGACAAAAGTTTTATATACAGAGTCATGCATAGCCTGGCTCGGTGACTAAATCTGATGCATGTGTATTGCAGAGAGGGAGAGGAAGAGGGAGGGGACAGGAGAGCATGTGTAAGGGTCATTTTGGTAGGAGAATTACAGAGCTTACACAAAGTACTGTCTTTAAAGGTCAAGGGTTTGAGAGGCTAGTAGGGTTTGCTTTAAAAAAAAAAAAAACAACTAATGAGATAGAAAATTTGTCCTCTCAGTGAACTCTTATGGTTGCCCTAGCAAAGGGCAGACAATGCATGATTTTGAAACACAGTGAGATTTTCTAAGCTGTTAGAGCAAGCTCCCTTAAAAGTCAAATCTGAAAAAAAAATGAAATGACATAATCATTTGGAGCATTTCTGACAATTTTTTTTGAAAACTCACCAATACCTTAATAATCAATAGAAAAATGCCAATTTGTCCTGGAATATCAGAAAAATGATCTCAATCCTCTCTCTTCATTTTTTGAATGGACAAGTGAAAGTCACCCCCTTTACCTCCCGATCACTGCCTCCAGCACTAATGAATGGCCCACATCCCTCACTGCCGGAAAAGAAGAAATGTAAGAATTTACCTTAAAGGATGATAATCTGCCATTTGAGGTTTTGCAGCTTGACACTCAATTTCCACTGAGAGTCTAGGCATTTTTTTTTTTGAGCAGGCAGACAAGATGCTGCATATTTGCCTGAGACCGCATTATTTGCAAGAAGATCCCTCTCTCCTCCACAGACTTTTCCCAGAGAATGCCTTTCAGAATTGCTGTTGAATTACAAAGAAGTATTTATTGTATGAGGTGATTAATGATTCCTGGGAAAATTGCTATTTTCAGCGTGATTTAATTTCGTTTTACAAGTGCGTGTAGTAGGGGGAGGGTTAATAAGTTTCAGCAGCAATTGCATTGCCTCCAGAAATGCCCGGTACCCTTTCACACCTTATCAAATGCGCTTGATGCCAGGCTTTTCCTCACTTGGGAAGGCTTGTGTATATTTGTTCACCCCTGAATCTTCTTGAGCCCTCAGAGACTGGTGCCTATCACTCCTCTCGCAAATCTGGTTTGTTTTTAGGTAGAGAACGGATCACCCTTGCTGTATCGTTCACAGGTTAGCAAGGGTGAAAGGGATAACAGCACTGGCACTGGCTCAGCATTTGCCTCTGACATTGTAGAGGTAGGTGAACCACCTTTCCCCTCTCTGTCACAATTGCTACATGACCTAAAACCTGCACTTCTTTCAAGGCCAGGTGACAGTTCTAATTTTATGGGGCTAATGTGCATTGTTTTTCTGTATATCATGGCAGGGTGTTCCCTGATTGAGCACTCAGTTTAAATCAGTGTACTATTAGAGTTATGGAGATTGAGATGGGAGTTTTAATTTTCAGCCTTTTGTATCTAGATCTTTGGGACTGAACAGAAAGATTCCAAAGTATTTGAGAAAAGTGACCCTAGTTCAGAGTATAGTTTGCTTCCAGCAGTAAACTCTTCTGGGTTTACTTTGTATGGGGTGCATTTTTGGGTATCATTGTACTTTTTATTTCCTCTGAAGACACATAGGAGGGTGTACTGGGAAAATTCACTGTACTTTGAAAACTCTTTCAAAAAAAAAAAAAAAGAGAGAAACAGCAAACAAAAATTCCCAAGCTGTACTTAAGACCAGCCAAGAAACAAAAAGCAATCTCAACCCTTTGCACAAACTATTTTTTATCTCCAGGGAAACAGGCAGATTAAGTGCAAAGGTGCAACAAATACCAAAGGGACCACTTCTTTCCAAGTGTGCTCAGAGTTCAGTGTGTAGAACAGCTGAAGAAACTCCTGGGCCCTCCACTCTGCATGGTTTCACCTTTCATTGCAGGGAAGGACATGTTTCTATGCCTTACAGAGACTTGCAGCCTGAAAGCCTGGCCAAGTTTGGGAAGAAGAGGAGCCCTCTCAGGGCTCAAGAGCCTTCCAGCTCTTTGGAACATTTCCACAGCGGGTCAAGCTTGACAAGAGTTCAGCTCAAGTTGAACACACACACTCTTAATCAAATTATGTGAGCAATCAGAATCCATGTGAACACAGCTCAAGCCATCTACAAAGTTTTTACATGCAAGGTCAAGCATCTCAATCCAGAGGATTTTTTTTTTAATGAAAAGTTAGGAAACACACAAATCTGTCTCTTAGATTTTAATGTTTTCTCAAAACGAAGTTTATTCTTAGCGCATGGCTTTTTATACAGTCATATCACACTTTGTACAGTTGCACGTGGGTATAAACACATTTCCCTCTCCCCAAGATTGTGCCCCAGAATAAGACAATATCTCTATGACAATATCTTAAATAAATGCAAGGAAGGGAAGCTAACATGTCACACCTATCATCAAGGTCTACACATTTTGAGAATTAAATAATCTTGCGAGGTCCACAATGTCTACTCATTTATTCAGTTCAATACAAGCTCATGTGAGCTCTCTTAATGGAGGAGGGGTGGTAAGGAAAGTGGGAAAGGGTCTCCTTTCTTCTGCTTGCAACAAATACACAACAAGTACATTTCCTCAGTCAGCATGCACTGTTCAGCTGACTTTAAACATCTCAGAAGTATTTGATGGCAATGGTTCTTTCTCAGGTACCCAAACCTGGCAGCCTTGGTCAGGCCAGCAGGTTGTTCCACCAAACAGCATCCTGAAAAATTGTCCGCCCTTGGGTGGCAACCAGCACATACTCTTACTGGGGATAACGTTTTCCTTTTTGGTTATTGTTTTTTCGCCAAGTTGGGTTTTGTTTTGGTGTCTGTTATAGCCAAGATGGGGAGGAGTAAATGAGGAAAGGAGCAGGAGAAGAGAGAACAGGTAAGGGGCAGAAACTGATCTAGGTCTCTAGATTATATGGAGGAGGGAATGGGTGTGGAGGCACCGGGGAGGGGGTGGGGAAGGGGGTGCGGGCTCTGAGTTTGTGCTTTCCCAGGCGGGCCAGCAGAGGCCGAGGCTGGGTTGGAGGATCGCATCTTGGTGTTGGGCAGTTTGTGATCTTTCTTCCACTTCATCCTCCGGTTCTGAAACCAGATCTTGACCTGGCGCTCAGACAAGCAGAGCGTGTGGGCAATCTCGATGCGGCGCCGCCGGGTCAGGTAGCGATTAAAGTGGAACTCCTTCTCCAGCTCCAAGACCTGCTGCCGGGTGTAGGCGGTTCGAGAGCGCTTGGGCTCTCCTCCGTTATAACTGGGATTCACTGGACACCCAAAACCCCGAAGGAGGAAGACCACGGAGGTGGGAGTGGAAGAGAGGGAAAGGAGGAGGAGAGAGAAGACAGGGTGGGGAAGAGCAATTGGAGATCATCATTATATAATAACCTGACACCAAGTTCACACAAGATACATAAAACCGCAAAGAAAATGTTTCACAGGCTATTGACAACGGGAAACACCCGAGAGCCATAAAGAATGGTGCTGGGCATTGGGGCTGAAGAAAAGCTTCAAAGACACATGGCCCGAAGCCTCTGCCAGGGCAATTAAATTTATGGGGGCTATAATTACTGCCCTAACAGTTTGGCGTCTCGTAAATCTCCCGATAAAGGGACCCTGGGTACAAAAGGGTTCTCACGTTGGGATCAGGCTGCTGGCTGGCGCACACACACCCTCAATCCCACAGCAGCCAGGCCAGATGGGGGCTCTGCTCCCCAGGCCCCCTTCCCTCGAGCCTCTCCCTCCTGACCCCCGCCCCGACCCTCGAACCCGGGCCTGGCCACAGCCCGCCCTCCCGCATCTCCCCAGCGGCGCCACGTACCGGCGCTGACATGGATCTTCTTCATCCAAGGGTACACCACGGGCTCCTTGCCCTTCAGGCCCGGCGGGCTCTTGTCTGCCAAGACCAGCGGGCACGCGGGGGCGCTGCCCCCTGCCGGGATGCCCGGAGTGGCTGGGGCCGCCTCGCAGCGCCGCGGGGGCGCGGGGGCCGCCGCGCAATGTTGCGGGGGAGGCGGCGGCGGGGGCTGCCGCCCGGGCTGCAAGACATGGCTCGCGTGCAGGCCGTGCGCCGGGCCCTTGGCGTGAGCCGGGGGCTGCTCAGGTTGAGGCGGCCGCCCCGGGCTGGCGCCGCCGCGGTAGCCATAGGGGTAGGCGGCGTCCGCGGCCCCGTGCGCGGGGTAGAGTGCGGCCGCGGGGTAGGCGGGCTCGCGGGCGGCCCGCGGCGCGTAGTAGGAGGCTGGGGGCTCACGGCTACCGCCCGCGTGAGGGAGCTGGGGCTGCTGCGGCGGCAGGTGCTGGGTCGCGGGTGCGGGGGGCTGCTGGTAACCGGGGCCCCCGCCCGGGCCGCCGTCTCCGCTGCCCGGGCCGCTGTGCTGCGCGTACTCCTCGAAGGGAGGGAACTTGGGCTCGATATAGTTGGAGTTTATCAAAAACGAGCTCATGGTCATTAATTTGTGAAGTGCAAAAATACTAATTTTTCTCGCGTTGTCGTTTTTCTGGGCTCGCAGAGGCCCCTCCCCCTCTTGCCTCGCTTCCCATCCCCCCTTTCCTCTGCGCCCTTCCCCTCCCCCCGCTGTCAAGTGCCCACCCCTCCCCCTCCCGCCGACGCCACCACCAAAGTTCGCGCCGCTCCTCCCCCCCCCCCGCCCGCGCGCGCGCGCGCGAGCGCGCGTTCGTTCCGCCTCGGCCCCGCGCGGGCCCCGCCCCGCGCCCCACGTGCAACGATCCCACCAATGGGCGCTCCGCGCGCGCGGACCCGGATCAGGAAACTCGCGAGTGGTTGATGGATGCCGCGGTCAGGTCCCTGGCGGGGTGGGGGAGCAAGCAGGGGCTTCGGTTCTGCAGCCATCCCCTCCCTCCCCGACTCGGGTTCTTGCTGGGAATTGGGGGCCGGTCAGTCGGTAGGTCCCCCGGAGCCCTATTCGTGCCCTATTTCTGGCCTAGGCCTCAGGGCAGCGGACTGACCTCCAGCCTAGCAGGGCCTCGCGTCCTCCTGAGTTCGAAGCCCTCCGGGGGCGGGAAGGGCTTCGGGTTTAAGGGGCATCCCCGTTTTTATATTGGCCCTGGAATAAAACGAATGAGGAGACAGACCCATTTTTCTCACCTGCTGGTCCCTTCCTCACACTCTGCTCGCTGGTCTACTGATCTGCTAGAGAGCCTGCGTTGAGAAGCCTGGCTGGAGCAAAGGGTGGGTGGGTGTTCAGCTGAGAGAAATTACTCAAGGATGTTACAGCGAGGCCATTTCAGTACAACCGAATGGATGCTTTTTTCTTTTTAAGAAACAGAGTGTTTCTAATGACTAATTTGATAGAGGTGTCGACGTGAGAACTAAATAAGCCTGCGTTTACTAGATGCGATTGTGAGAGAGATGGTGACCAAAGGATGGGAGCGGATAGAAGCGACGCCTCCACAAAACCGAGCTTTAAAACCAATAACTTCCTATTTCAGACCCCCCCAAAAAAAACAAAAACAAGCTGAAGATAGAATAAGCCCCTGAACGCCGATGAGTCTTTTCCAGCTAAGAGTTTTGCTTTCTCTTAAGGATGCTTTCTCAAGTTGTATCTGAGGCGAGAGCTGTATTTACAGGAGAGCCTATAATTTCTGAGTTGCTGAAAATTAGCATATTAACGGTATCAAAAGCTCCGGAAAGGAGGGAGAAGGGACTGTTGCCTGCCATTTGGTAATTGAAATTTGATGGGTAAACTAATTATGCTATTATTAACAAATAAATTACTTATTAATTCCACCTAATGTTGATCTTTGAAGTAAATACTGATGCCTTATTAGTACTGTGTACTTTCTTTTTCCTTTTCTGAGTCACACACCTAGATCCTCTCCTTTTCAGCTTAGTTTAAAAGCAGGGCAAACTGGCCTGTTCACCATTCTAAAAATAACTTTCGTGTTAGAATGCAAAGCAAGCTGGTGCACCTTAGTTGATTTTTCAAAGAGCAATATAAACAGCCTTCTCCACTGAGTCTGGAATGAAGACAAGGAAAGTTATAGTCTCAGCCTGGAGACACTTCAAAAAGAATGTCAATTCTATCTTCATTTATATCGGTTACTCATATGAGTTACTAAATGCTGGAATGGATCCATTTGATGGATAGTCATTTAATGCTTAGGCACATAAAGCCTATTATATGGGACTAATCTTTAAACTAATTTAGGAAAAGAGGTTAAAAAAGAGATCATGTTAGCTTTCTAACTGGAATGCCCTGAAGTGGTACAAAGAGGCTTTCTACATTGGGTGTATGTGTGTGTGAGGAGTGCTGTCCATCGAAGTGAGGTACCCTGAAAATTTTTTTGTTTTTAATGAAATTTGAGCCACAGACAGAAATCAATGCTGATTTTTAGCCAGCCTCTGTAGACCTGGGGGGAGGATTTAGCCTGTGATAAAGCTGCCTAAACGAGTATCTTTTCCCCAGCAAGAAAATACATACACAGATTATATACTATATACAATAATATGTACATATGTACTATATATTTCAACTCGGGACTTCAGGGGGAGGAATAGCATGGACAAGAAACTCTTGCCCTCTTCCTCATCAGCCTTGAGTACTAGGCTCTTAACCATGTCTGTTTAATATTATTTACAGACACTAAAACATAAAATTCATGTTGTTTAGCCTCAGAACCTTCTACGGACTATCTTTAAGTATTCAAGAGACACGGGCACTGTTTTGTATATGGTTCAGCTAAACGAGTTAACTGTGCCTGTGTTTTGTGTGGTTCTATTACTTTAGGAAGATGGGCTTACACAGAATCCCCCAAGGCCTGTAACTTGTCTTTTCGGTTCTATCATAAACACAAACGGAGCCAGGACCACCAAGTGTTATCTCACACACCGACATTTTGACATTTTACTGCAAGATTTATGGCTGTAATAAACAATCTCAGTACCTTTTCTGAACCTTCCACAACCTCCTTTTGCAAGCCATGGCATAATTCCATTGAATCAAATAATCTTTTGAAAAACATTAAAAAAAATTCTTGCCTTTACATGAGATCCAAGACACCAAAGGAAAGCTAGGAAGAAATTAGCTCAACTTAAAAAACAAACTGAAGTTTAGCAGCAGCATCTTGCCGGAGAAAAGATGGTATGCCCTGAAATCGAGCAGAGAGGGAACGTGCTAACCTTCGCACACCAACTGGCTCCAGTCCCAAGCGGGGTGAAAGCGCTATCCTTTCCTTGGGAAACTGGTAAGCACATTTGCTCACTTCCACGTGCAGGGATAACGTATATCCCCAACAAAAGCTTTCTTAAAATCCCATTAAGTGAAATAACTTTTCATCATGTCCTCGCATCCCAGATGGAGAAGGAGAGCGAAGGGAGTCCAGGGAAAGGGAGGGCGAGAAGGAGGCAGTGTTTGCAGCTTGGTTTGAATCTGATTTGAATCATTTTGAATATATTTGAAAGCGCCTTCCCTCTTGAATGCAACCCTGTCCCCTAGTTTCAAAGTGACCGAACAGTGACACCGTGTGCATTTTGTTTCTTATTAATCTTACACATTGACAGTCTTTGTTAAATCACAAGGCGCGCCCTTCACCAGCCGGCATTTTCATATTTGTTAGACGCGCTGACCTGAAGTTCACCTCGGCCTTGGACTTTGCGCTTCTAAAAGGTCTATACAGTGTCTTTTAGAGAGCAGGGTCCTTTGCCCAGGTCACTCCTTCTCAGGAAAAACCAAGGGGAAAAAGCAAAGGAAATGTAAACGTTATGGAATGTATTGACTGTATTTCTCCTTTGTTCTTTAGAGCAAGAGTCCCCCAGACTGTTTTCCGTCTGAAGTGCCCATCTCTGAAGCAAATAGGAGTGGCAGAAAACGAAATGCCTGATGGTGGCATTTGAGGGCTTCCCCCACCTACCCTAGACATATGATGATAGAGGGACAACACTACCAGCCATTTTATCAGTTAATTTGTTTGGGGGTGATTTCCTTGTATTAGTTTAAAATAATGAATATAACCCAAGCATAAGGACTGAAATTCGTATTAGGATTTTTAATCAGGATTGTGTGGGAGGCCTAAAGATGGAGCTCCTGTAAGGAGGTAAGCTCTCTGAAGGGAAGAACTTCCACAAGTACTGTTTTCTTAAAGAGCAGCTAAGAGGTTATCTATGAGTATTGAAGTGAAAATGTGTCAACATGGTTTTAACCAAAAATACAATGTAAAGCGTCTCTGGAAGAGACATGTAATTGCCTCAGTGAGACGGGGGTTTCCGTTTTCTTCATTTCCTTCACCCAGATGTGGTGGTGCTCAGTGCTGTAACAGCAATCACCACAGTTGTTTCCTTTCTTCTGTTTCATCTGGCAAAACCCCATTTGGCTTGGAGCTCTTGGCCAGAGTAAAAACTTTACACACTGCACAGTGGAAGCACCCTGATTACTTCCATGAAGGCAGTGTATGGGAAATATTTACTTTACTACTCAACATACCTGACACCATTAAATCCTATCAACCTGAGCATATTAGGGTGCTCTTAAACATCCCTGCAAGAGTCTATATTTTGAGTAGTTGAATTAGCTCCAAAATTAAGAAGAAAAGCCTAGGAAAAATGTTTTAGCTTTCTCTTCTCTGTTTTCCTACATTGATCATTTGAAGGTCAGTACATAGAGAAGAAAAACATGTCCCCCAGAAAATAGACTCCTAATGGCATCAACACTTAA